GGGGCCTGGGCCCCCGCAGCCCGCCGCGCCCGCCCCCTTCCCCGCCCCCCTCCTGGGAAGCCGGGTCAAGGGCGCCGACTCTTAGAGGACCAATCACGAAGCGCTGCACTCGCTGAGGAGACACCGGCGCACGCGGAAGGTGAAGGCACGAGATGCTGAGAAGAACGTAGTGCGGCTCTAATCAAGGCCTTATTTTTCTGATGTAAATCATCCTTTTACATTTGTCTGTAAACATGTTTAAAGAATGGACCTAGTCGTACATTTTTAGATTTTGACGATATAGCCATTTTGGATTGTATAAGTAGCAAATGTAACTTTTACTTTTTAAATGGCACATTAAAAAGCCAGCAAGAGATGTGTTCAGATCATGGTGTATTATTTATTACGCAGCTGATGTACCTGTAGACAGAGATGGCGTGTCTTTTAACATTTGGGCTCTGCCTTCAATCTACTTGTACAGTTCACTGTTACCGTTCTGTTTTTCTATTCATCTTTTGTGAACTTCCTGATTATGTAACAAAGTATGTACAGTCTACTTTTGAACTATTTTTATCACAGTATTATTTATTGCTTTCTTTCAATAAAGTACTGAAGCAAAATTTTCCACTGCCAATACAGAGTACGAGGGTAAGCTGTACTCCTACTGAGAATTGACCGCAGCTGTTGTATCTCCCGCTCCAGGCCGACTGATTGGAGCCAGTGTCGTCATATGGAAATTCTGTTATAGGAATGGATGGACAGACTAAAAAGGCTGGACGATGGGAGTGTAGGGTCAGGTGTCACCCAGAGGGTGACCAGGTGTTCGTGCCCTCGGTTCTGGAGGCCGGGGGCGCCCTCTCATCAGTACCTATGGGGAGCCGGTCCCTGGAAGCCTCTGCTGCCACAGGCACCAGGCTGATTGTCGGAAACAGCGTGGAGCTGCGTAGGCTCACCTATGGAGTCCAGGGATGGGGCGGCCGAGGGCAACCCAGACCTGGACCCGAAGGAGGGGACCCAGGGGTGTGCGTGTGCTTGCGCGCATGCGTATGGGTGTGGGTGCTTTTTAATTTTTTTTTTTTAGTCGGCAAATTTTATTCAGATATTCCATAGAAATAAGAAAGTAGCAAGGGAGTTAGGGAAGTAGGAAAAAAGATTTTCAATGCAGAATCGTAATCACAGCTCTGGGTACATCTGGGAGCAGGCTCTCCCCCCGGCATCAGGCTCCCCCCGGCATCAGGCTCCCCCTGGAATCAGGCTCCCCCCGGCATCAGGCTCCCCCCGGCATCAGGCTCCCCAGGCATCAGGCTCCCCAGGCATCAGGCTCCCCCGGCATCAGGCTCCCCCGGCATCAGGCACGGCAGCCACACTTGTCCGATGCTCCTGTGCCGCCACAGCCCTGGGCACGCTCAGGGCAGCCGGAACAGCAGCTCTTGCAGGAGGTGCGTTTTTAGGAGCCACCGGTGGGGCAGCAGCAGCTGGGGTCTGTTCCAAGCTGAGGTGAGGCCAGAGAACTGGAGCAAGTGGCAAAGCAGAGGCACTCGTGTTGGTGGCGGTGTGCGTGCGCGCGTTCCTCAGCTCCGCCTCCTCTGTGCAGGCTTGGTGTCCTGCTCTTCCCACGTGGCCACACGAGGGTCCCAGGGCTGTGTCCTTCCAGATTCATGGCCTCTGTGATAGCTCAAGCCAAGTCCTGAGTCACATCGGGGTTCAGTGTGGCAGAGGGGTGGAAACACCCAAGCTGGAGGGCTGAAAGTGGATCCCCAGGGGGACAGCCGGGCACTAGTGGGGGGCAGAGTGGGTGCAGGTGGCTGCTCACAAAGGGCCACTGCAGGCGGCACTAGGACGAGAGCACGGGCGCCTTAGCTCACTAGGTGACGTTTCCCGCCCTCACCACCACGAAGGTGTTACTGCCATCAGGTCTGGGGACGCAGCAAGCCCAGTGACTGCCACCACCCTACTTGGGCCCTGTTGGGTGGGCACTGCTGACCATGGCCTCGGTTTCATTCCTGTCCCGACTGTCCCTCCAGGGCTGACGGGCTCCCTTTCTGAATGGCACATGTGTTGTTTATGTGGATGAACGCCTTCCGGCTTGTTTCTGTCGGCATAGCCGTCAGGTCATTGTGTGTTTCTCTCTTTAGAACCTGTGCTTTGCTCGTCTTCCAGTTTAACGTAGGAGCGGCCTTATTTTCTGCATTTCCTAGTTCTCAGGGTTAACTTAAGCATGAGATTTAAAACCACAGAGTGCTTTTCTCATCTCACACTCCATTTTTGCCTGACCAAAGCCAAGCGAGCCTTGAGTATCTGAAAGATTCTGAAAGATTCTGGAAACAGAGTCACGCATGATTCATAAGCTGCAGGTGTTTTATGACAACTTGTTTCATTGATTCCACTTAAGGCCTTTAAAAACAAGTGTTGATGGAGAAATACCCAAAGAAAGCAGTAAGGAGATGTTTCTGTAGTTTTGCTTCTCTTAGAACACTCATTAGCCATGCTTCTTAGGTCTGCCCCCTTCACAGCCAGTGCCCAGGGCTTGCCCATCACGGGGCTGGGAGGGTAATCAGTCTGCAGTCCAGGGGTGGTCCCGTTAAAGAGGATCTTGACTCTTCCCACCACTAAAAACTCTTTGTTAGGCTACATATCCTACCCTTAAGGATCTCTCTCCAAGTTTCATGCCGCGCATTTTTGAGGTCACTGTGGTTTTGTTTTTTGTTTTTTGCCTTTCACGAGCTAAGTCCTCTCCTCACCCAAGATGGGTTTCCGGGGTATCCGGAAGAGTCCGTCTTTCCTGTGTTCTTGCCAGATAGATGAGTAGGTGCATATCCAAACGCGACCACAGCTGCTGTTGTAACTACCCACGTGTCATTCGGTACCTTTCTATACATTTGTTTACTTTTACTTTTGGCTGCGTTGGGTCTTCGTAGCTGTGCGCGGGCTTCTCATTGCGGTGGCTTCTCATTGCGGAGCACGGGCTCTAGGCGCATGAGCTTCCGTAGTTGTGGCACGTGGGATCAGTAGTTGTGGCACACGGGCTCTAGAGCGCAGGCTCAGTAGTTGTGGCGCACGGGCTTAGTTGCTCCGAGGCATGTGGGATCTTCCTGGACCAGGGCTCGAACCCGTGTCCCCTGCACTGGCAGGCAGATTCTTAACCGCTGTGCCACCAAGGAAGTCCTCAATACATTTCTAAACATCGCAGATCCTTTTGTTTTTTACATTTCCTTGGCTTAATCCCTTGGTGAGAATGGGTAGCCGGTGCCTTTGCTGTTTCATGTCCTGGACTCAGCGGGGCACCTTTTCAAGTACTGCTGTCTGAGACCAGCACTGTGTGCAGCCCTACGCCCGGCGTGCAGGTGCCGTGGGAGAGGAGGTGGGCCAGGTCCTTGCGGAGGCTCGAGGGGAGGGTCCATTCTCTCTTCCAGTGTTCAGTGGTTGCTGGCTTCCGTGGCCGTGGCTGCATCCCTCCAGTCTGCTCTGTCTTCACATGGCCTCTCCTCTGAGTGTCTC